GTTTATGCCGTACTGAAGTTTGTTTATCATATCGTGTCATAGATAACTATCATTGTGGTAAGATTGAGTGTATTGTTACACGTTGAACAGTTTATGCCGTACTGAAGTTTGTTTATCATATCGTGTCATAGATAACTATCATTGTGGTAAGATTGAGATTACGTATTGTTACACGTTGAACAGTTTATGCCGTACTGAAGTTTGTTTATTATATCGTGTTAAGTTGTGGCTAGAGGGTGGGTGTGAATGTCAAACATTTTTGAAGATTAAGGATTATTATAATATAACTTCTTTTAAGTGATACGACCATTTTTAAAAGGTATTTATTAACAGATTGATAATTATTACTTTGACCCCCCCCCCCGTCTGTTGATCAACAAACTCTAATCAAAGTCGTAAATGTATAGTTATCCAATGTCTAAAGTGCAGCTATACATTGTGTTTGCAGTTATTTCAATAACTTCAAAATGGCGTGCGATGTTCAAAACATTACCAAATGCCCCACCCCCCCACCCCCCCACCCCCCCCCCAATAACGAAACCCTAGAATCGTCCCATTGTCCCTTATCTTGTTTGTTTCAGTGAAGCCGAGTCTGTTTTAAAATAACACCTCTTTACAGTTGTTGCTGCTTTTGGACATATCAACACCTCTTTCGGAATATCTGGGGTCCAGTTACGCTTAGTGAACGAACTGGCCATCAAGCTGACCTCGGCCTCTACGATTGACCATATTTCATTCTTCCGTGACACTCTTGTATGTCAGAGTGTAAACTGTCAGCAGCTAATCGAAAGTGTAAACCTGCAGGAACTTGTCGAAGACGTAGTATTTATGAATGAAGTGTCCACAGTGCAAGCACTAACTGTTTTTCGTCGTGAGACAGTAATTGAAGGGAAGATTGAAGCTGCTAGAATATCTTACCGTAACAATAACTTGAAAGAAATGTTTGTTCAAGATAAAGGGTGGAACATCTTGCTGGAGTCGTTACCTCAAAACATCACAGGTTAGCGTGTGTTTTTGGTTTTATTTGTATATAGGAATTTCTTATCTGAACCTCGTTCTACTTGACGTTATCACAGTAGTATATTAACACTTTATCAAACTACTTCATTTTCAGGCTTTTACACTTTTGAAGATGACTTTACATCTAAGAATCTTCACGGAGAAGTGTTTGTAGGAGAAGTAAAGCTTTCGGACACTTCACACGGTGTGCTGAAGACCGACGAACCCGCCATAGTGAACGGTAACTTGTTGTTCTCGACAGAAGTTAACATTAAAACCTTGTCTGTACAAGGTGTATTGAACGACGTCTCATTCGAAAAGTTGTTGTCCTTTTTGATATCTGAAGATTGCGCGGAAATCCGAGACGTTTCGGAAGACTCGATAATTCGGGAAGTAAATGTGCAGGGTAACTTAACACTGGTGTTCCTAAATGGAGAAAATTTCCCACATTTTATCAACGACGTTGTTTCCATTTCTGCCTCTCATCAGGTAACTGACTTTAAAAACTGCATTTAAATCTTTTTGAAAAAATTACTTAATTGTTCTCACGACTTTGCCTGTTCAACGTGAATCAATCGTCATTTTGTTGCTGTCATTAAGTCTAAAGAAAAATAACTTTAATTACATAATTTTTATGATCCCAGGGTTTGCGTTGACAGGCACGAGCTCCCTCGTGTGGAGATCGGCTACATCGCACTAAATAGTTCCTTTACTGGTGTTCTGGTTGTATACTGGCTGTCCTATTGATTTAGGCGCGGCATGGCCAGGTGGTTAGGGCGCTCGACTCGCAATCTGAGGGTCGCGGGTTCGAATCTCCGTCACACCAAACATGCTCGCCCTTTCAGCCGTGGGGACATTATAATGTGACGGTCAATCCCACTATTCGTTGGTAAAAAGAGTAGCCCAAGAGTTTGCGGTGGGTGGTGTTGACTAGCTGCCTTCCCTCGAGTCTATCACTGCTAAATTAGGGACGGCTAGCACAGACAGCCCTCGTGTAACTTTGCGCGAAATTCAAAACAAACAAACAAACAACCTATTGATTTATCGTCTTTAATTCCCCTAACGATACTTTGAAGACCTCTCATGGCTGCTTTCAGTGTTTGTGCAGGAAAAGTCTATATTATGATTAAGATTGTGATATATTTGATAAAAGTGGGTTCTTCCGTAAGTTTTTAATCTTACTTTAGCTCAATCGTTGCCTGGCGTAGCACCTACATTAAAGTTATGGTCTTACCATATAGTTGTTTTTGTTACCTGCCACCCATCTGGCGACTAAGTACTCTGACTTGTTGTTTTATTCTGTTGGTGTTACTATCTTTCTGCAGTTCCATACACAAAGCAACTTACTTAAATTGGTAAAAGCGGCGAACAGCAAATAGTGTGACGAACGTTTGCGACTTAATCTCAGAAAGTAGTGCGTACAACTCGATAAGATACAGCATGATTACTATCCCACGATTAGCATCAACTGTAACACATCTTTAGTATAAATATTTTACACATTAAGTGTTATAAGAAAATCAATACTTCCCGATCTAATGACCATCCTCAATTTAATGTAACACCACTATCAATTGTTCTAACCATCCGCATATACTAATTGAATCGTCGTCGCTATTGCCCCAGTAATATTGACGAACAAGTATTGTCGTTACCAGAAAAGCACCTAAGTGTCTCTGTTATCGTTCCTGTCATTCGTATAGCAATGTGCGCAGTGTCTTGGCATAATTTCGTATGTTCGTGGGTGATCACTTTGTGTAAAGTTAAAATGTATATTAACTCTTCCGATTTGTAAATCCTATAAAAGTGATAGAATTGATAATTACAATTCGCATCACAAAACTTTGTTAGTGACATTTGTATAAATGTTCAATACGAGGGCTTATCAGGCCGGCTATAATACGATATACATGGGAGCCAAAGTTTCTCTTTACCACTAGATATGGTAGTAGTGTTGTCATTTTTTTCTTTCATTTATATGTTGGAATTTGGAATACTACTAAAGGTTCATTCAGGTGTTGTTAGCTATTTGTTTTACTAATTACTATTGCTTGTATTTAAGAGTCTGTCCTCAAAGATATTTCTCGGCGACGTCGTATTAAATGGAGGTATGGAGATAGGCATACTTGAAGTTGGTGAGACAGTGAACGACGTACATATTCAACAGTTTGCTACTGATGCCGTTTACTTGGGAAAAAATGCATTGATCAATAGTAAGTGTGTTTTTTTTTCAGCACAAAACTATACAATAGGGGCTATCTGTACGATGCCCACCATGAATATCTAAGTCCGATTTTTAGTCTTGTAAGCTAATCGACGATAATTGATTAATTTTGACTGACTTAATTCTTTTTTTATGAATTTTTTTTACGAAAGCATAGCTTTCGGTAACCAATGTTTTGGGAGTCAAATTCAGCCCGTTGACAAATATTGAAGCGAGTAAAAGCAAGTATTAAACATTGTTTATTTTTAACACTGTAGTAATTTACTTTTATTTTTTCCTTTGAAAATAAAAAGCTTAATCTATACCGAAATAATGTCTTTAAATTTATGGAACTCTGTTATCCATCACTCTGCAACTATGACCCATGCTTAAATCCGTAGGTCTCTTCCCTCTTCCCACAAGGTTACCTTTCCTGTTCCTAAAATCTTTCAAATCAGTATACGTTAAACCACACGTGTTAAAAAATTTGTATATAATAAAAGCTGCACTTTAAAATCAAGAATAACTGGGAAAAAAAAGTCTTGGGGGGGGGGGGATTTACAAGCTTGACATTAAAAAAAAATAAAATAAATAAACTGCCAGAATAACTGCAAATTCACGTAATGCTGTTCTTAGTAAAAAAAAAAAAAAAAAAGGGGGGAACGGGGGGGCGGAAGACGTATTAAGTAGTAGTAAACGAACCCTTAACCTTTTACTTGAAGTTAAGTTAAGTTTAAGTTTTAATTG